TTTAATTATATTTCTTATTATATTACATTATGCATTTAATTATATTTTTTCCTTTTTAAAAAAAATTCACAATAAATCATTTTCATATTTCATTACAATTACAGATCCAAGTGATCGCGTTATTACAGCCTACAGAGGAAGAATTGCAGACACTGTGGTACACAACTCTTTCATTGCCACAGGACAACCAACATAACATACTAGATGGCATTGTGAATGGAGAATTGAATAATGTACCACAACAAATCCCAGACACTGATAACATAACGACTGGTCCTGGTACTTCAAGTGTAGTTAGAGCTGGCCCAAGTTCTACTTCTATTAGCTCCAACTATGTAACTAGAGAAGAAATGGAGCAGATGCTGAACGTACATAGGCTGCATATAGTATCAGATGTATCTGGTTTGTGCGGCGAGTTGAAAACAACCATTGTTGAAGAATTAAGAAGACAAGAAGGCCACTACCAAGAAATTCTTCAAAACCAAAAGGAATTGTTTGTCCAACATCAGAAGTGGCTACAAGACCACTATCAACACATGCAATCTAGCATGCAACCCGTGGATACTTCAACTTTTTGCGATAGTTTATTTAGTGCACACATTGCTGAACAATCGCAAAAACAAGAAATCCATTACCAAACTTTTCTTGACAACCAAAAACAATTCTTCCAACAACAGCAACAGTTGCAAGAAGAACACAACAAAGACATGCAATCTAGCATGCAAAATTATGTAGATACCAGTTTAAGTTCAATAAGATCTTATATTGATGACCAAAATAGCAATATGCTGAATAAACTATCTGAAGGCAATAAAAGATGGAAGCTGTTATAGCTTACATCCAACAAGATATTCCGTAGGAGTCCAATTCCAAAGCACGTCTCAATATCTCAACAAATTGAAGATGTTGAAAAATCGACAAAGGAAAGAAAAGCTAAAGAAAAAAAGATACAGTCTTCAATGCCATCTACAGGTTTTCCTTTAGAAGACTATCTTATGGACTGGGTAATAAACAATCCATCAAGGTAACCATTCTAATTCTACTTTATTAGTTTGAATATTATAATTTCAATTTGATTTATTTAAAACTAATTTAAATTATGTTATGCAGTGCATATTGGGATGATGGAACTGACAATCTGTACAGAAGAGACACAATTAAAGTTATAAGAAACACAACACAGGATATCAATACTGCGGTCAGTAAAGTTTAGTCATCATAATAAATTTCATTCCATATTTAATATATTTAATTTGATTTACATATATTTATTCTATTAGAATATTGACCTGGAGTTAAAACTGTTGAGGCGGCGGATTAAGGATGGTTGCACCCTTCTTTTGAAAGAATGTACTCGCCAAATGATGTTGCGAAGAAGCATACAAGAAGGAAGTATAAGTACAAATACACTGGATATAAATCTTTTAGAAAAATACATAAATGACAATTTACCAACAGCTGGTCGTCCATGGATAACATAAAATTATTTATTAATTCCATATTTGTATTCAGGCAACAGTTGGTATCTCTTTCTTGTGAATTTCCGCGAATGGAAATTTCAAATATATGATTTTAATTACAATGTTCATACGCCATAACAGGTCAGGGCACATACAAATGCAGTATTAAATTTAGTCCAAACATTATTAATGTCTTTGGACTTTTCCATCAGACGAGATACAAGGAAAAATAGAAACGAACAAATGGAATTTGACATCATACCTTACCTATCTTGTGGGTGAGTATTTAAACTATTTACTGTTTACTATAATGTTTCATTTTCTATTTGATTTAATTTTACATTTATGGTACTAATTTAATCTAACATAAAATTATTTCTTTCATAGGTCCAACTGTGCAATTTTTTTGTTCAAGAATACTTCATTCTTGGATATCTAATAGAATTAGTTTCTCCAGACAGGATGACTATATATAGACAAAAGATTGCAATAGATATTTGCTATAATGAATACTTTTTACATCGTCGTTAATCCTGGTACTACTGAATACTCATATTTGCGCAAAAAACATCTCACAACATATGGTACAACTCGGTGACGAAATTCCCACACTTAGAAACAAAAAGGTAGCATATGAAATCAATTAGACTTCATACTTATGCACAAGTCAAATGTTCACCTTTGGAACACCATTCAAGCAACCCTAAACCTTTCCCTACCCCTTTTCTACATCTTATTCTGTTTTTTCTTCAACTACGACAACCCAATCAAGAAAATTCAATTATTTCAATTTGAAACCTCTTTTTTCCATTCATTGCATATATAGCACTTTCTTCCTTATATATTTTCTATTTGAAGTTCAAAGTGATAGTTTTGAAGACTTCTTTGCACCCAAGTTGAAAAAATATAGATGGCAAACCTTTTTTAAAGAGAAAACAACAAAGGTTAGTTAAATCATATATTGACTTGGCCTAAAATATTCCTATTACTTATGATGCTATTGTTAGAAATGTCAATTGTCCAAAACAAAACTGCCCAAAATCAATTGATCAAGGTGGTTTTCTGGGATTTATGATTATTTGTATGTTCTTATTTTCTCAAGACAACAGCATTCCTCAACTTCATTTTTACTGAATTTATTCCTAATTATCCATCATTTAAACAGCATTTTGAAATGAATTTTTCTGTGTTTTGGCATATTACAGAAATAGTATTAATGAACAAAACAGGTTTTACTTAAATTTTACAATAAAATCTCACTTTTAACAACTAAAGCATTTTTCTTCAAAACTTTCTCCACAACTGTTTTTGAAGGAATCTAAAAACAAGTTTCTTATGTGAATTGATGACAATAATATTTGCTTTGTTGTTTAATAAATACATGCAAGTTGAGGGAAGAAATGGAAAAAACTGTATTTCTGCCTCAGGACCTGTAACGAAGCCCATCTGCATAATCACCGGAGTAGATTAACTGTCAAAACTCCATATCTTTAGAAATCACTTTGTGGCGATACTAATCGTGCTTTTAGATTTATGTATTAAAAATGCGTCCTATATGCTAGTGTTGATATGTATATTTTTTTGGGCTTGCTTTTGTAGGCCACCTCTGGTTTGGCTGCTGTAGTTGCTTATGCTCTTTCAAAGGAAGACTTTTACATTATTCTTGGTACTCCATCTATCAGTTTCTCCCCTACAAAAAGTATTTTCTTAGATCAATATTGATGGCTATGAATCACATGTTAAGTAAATTTGCCTTAGTGCGATTGCTCATTCTCTTGCTATATTAATTAACTAAATAAAAATGAAAGCTCAGGCCTGAATGGCTGAAGAACATTTTAAAACATGGAATTTTAACTTTATTGTTATTATTCCCTTAAATAATTGAATAGTAACATTAGTAACTTTAGAATGAAATATTTCTTGAGGGGGGTGCAGGTATATTATAATGGAGAATACTGGAGGTAATCATCAAATTAAATTCCTTCTCAATAAGGAAATTGTTATTTTTTCAGGAAAAAAATTATTCAATTCTTACAGTTGCTTAAAAATCTAATCACTGAAATGAGATTAGTAGCTTTTGGCAAAACTCTAGTTTATCTTTGTTAATTTTCATTGACTGTGCAGCTAGAAGATTAATGTGTAGACCTGTTGTTTTCCATCACTATTATACCCTCTATTGTTGTACTTGTTTTTCCCCTTTTCTAACTTTCAGGTTACATCTGATATCAAGAGAAGAAACAATGACGCTTGCCTGAAAACTTTTCAGGTTCATATAACTTCCTTCAAGCCAATCCTGAAGTTCAAATGCTCACTTCGGCAGTGGCTATTGGATTCAAATATGCATTCTTCTACTCAATTCCTGATAAATAATGCTGGGATCCTGCCTGCAGACTCACTTCCGAAAGCTACAATCGATAATTACTTCCAAAACATGTACCCATTATGACATTCATGAAAGTATACTGTAGTATAATGGTTTTGTTTATGCTACTTAATAAGACACTACAACACAAAATTGATATTTCTTGATGTTAGAAAGTGTAAATACATTATAAGCTTAATTGTAGGAATTTGCTTAATTATAGGGATTCCCAACTAGTAAATTTTCCTAATATATAGTTTTCTTACTTCATCGGTATTCTTTACGTCTCTGCGACTTGGTTCACCTCTTTTTTTTTTCCTCTCTTTTTTTTATCTACATGAAGTCTTATGCCAATATTTATGTTAGGATTGGTTGAATTCTTCCTGGGTTTTTATTTTTCCATTTTGTACTTTTAAAGATTATTTGGGTTTAAAGGTTTGAGCCATGTTTCACTTGCATAACCTTGTAATTGAGCTGCAAATATTGTACATTAATAATATTATATTGGTACAACAACATTTTTTGCATTCGTGTTCAATTTCGAATTGGAGTATTTTAGCCATGGGTGGTTCTTGGAGGAGAAATAGTTCATTCATTGTGCTAACAATTGTTCTGTAATTATGTTGTTTTTATTTTCTCATGTGTTTTTTTTTTCAGTTCTTACGATTAATCAGCTCTGATTTTGTCTCAAAAAAAGCAGAGAGAGCTTCTAATGCTCATTAAGAGAGAGCTTCTAATGCTCAATAATGATTTATTCTTTCCTGATCATTTTGTAGTTTTTTTTATATTTCTTTATCTTTGATTCTTTTGTGTTTGTTTCATTGATTTTCAAGATAAATTTTTCGCTAGAATTTGAAGGTACAAGCGAAAATGCACTAGCTATGATAACTGATCATTAATTACCTTAATTGTTCTTGTTTAATTGCTAAATTTATATAACATTAAATACACTAACAACACTTTCAAAATAGTGCACCCCGTGCATTGCGCGGACAGAAAACTAGTATTTTTTTTTAAAAGAAACTAATAACTACACAATTTATGAAAAAAAAAAAAAATGTAATTTCAACTCCATTCAGCTCTTCTTAAAATGAGCTCACACCGGCCAGGAACCGAGTCGAGTATGGAACCAGTAGAGAAATGCTTGAGGGATACCGAGATGGATAAAAGCACTATCCATGACGTTGTTCTTGTTGGTGGTTCTACTAGGATTCCCCAAGGTGCAGCAATTTTTGCAGGACTTCTTCAATGGCAAGGAGCTCTGCAAGTGTATAAACCCCGATGAGGCTGTTGCTTATGGTGCTGCTGTTCAAGCTGCAATTTTGAATGGTGAGGGCAATGAGAAGGTGCAGGACCTTCTACTTTTGGATGTTACTCCTCTCTCCCTCGGGCTGGAAACTGCAGGTGGGGTAATGACCGTGTTGATTCGCAGGAATACTACCATCCCAACGAAGAAAGAGGAGGTATTCTCTACCTATTCGGATAACCAGCAGGTGTGTTGATTCAGGTATTTGAAGCAGAGAGAACAAGGACTAGGGACGACAACAACTTGGTAAATTTGAGCTCTCAGGCATTCCTCCTGCACCTAGTCCCTTTCCTCAAATCACAGTTTGCTTTGACATTGATGCTAATGGTATCTTGAATGTGTCTGCCGAGGACAAAACCACCGGGCAGAAGAACAGGATCACAATTACCAACGACAATGGTAGACTTTCAAAGGAGGATATTGAGAAGATGGTTCAGGAAGCAGAGAAGTACAAGTCTGAGGATGAGGAGCACAAGAAGAAGGAAGAATGCTTTGGAGAACCATGCATACAACATGAGGAACACTATTAAGGATGAGAAGATTGCATCCAAGCTCCCCGAAGCTGATAAGAAGAAGATTGAGGATGCCTTTTAGCAAGCCATCCAGTGGCTAGATGGGAACCAGCTAGCCGAGTCAGACGAGTTTGAGGACAAGATGAAAGAGCTGGACAGCATCTGCAATCCCATTATAGAAAAGATGTACCAGGGTGCAGGTGGTGATATGGGCGGTATGGGTGGTGCTGCCATGGATGATGATGGTCCTGCCGCTGGTGGTAGTGGAGCTGGTCCTAAGATCGAGGAAGTTGACTAAATCCAGTGTTCTTTTGTGATGTTTTACTACTGTCTTAATTTGCGGACAATCCTTTGCTTGGAATTTAGGCATTGATTGTATTAGTAGCTTATTCAAAGCCTGTTTTGACAATATATTCCTTTGAACTTGGTATTATTTCTGGATATTAGTAATTGTTTATTGTTTAGAATTTTTCTTTGGGATGCAAGATCCTTTGTTTTGTGATATGAATATACTGGGAGGCAAAAGCTCACCGATGAATAGACAGAATAGTACAACAATTGGGCTCATAACTTCGTTTTAGTTCAATCGAATCCTGGGCATTACTACCTTACCTTTGCTGTCTACATGACCAAAGTGGGTATATGTTGGCATTGTGGAGGATCTCCATTCTTCAGGGGTGTGGTGTTGGGGCGGATATGTTGCAATCGAATTAGCTATGAAATAGGTTGCTTCGTCTACTTCCTAAAATCAGTAGTTCCACATGGGGATATGAATATGATTTTTTTGAATACAACTCTCAATGTGAAATGTGGTTGACATTTACTGTAACATAGAGAAAGTTGTGGTGGTCAGCCATTGAGCAATTTATGCTACGTGAGGCCTTATCTTTTATGAGATATTTTGCAAATGCACGGTATTCGGTATAAAAGTGAATTAATTAATTTCTTTGTAGGTCACAGTTGCTCTTACTATAAACAAGCAAAAATTGACTCAGCTTCCACGATCAATTGAACCAAATAGTATAAAATCTTTTCTTGCAATGCATCAACTAACAGTCATTTCAACTAACTTGAATTATTAAAGAAGTGGGACATGTTTATGTGAACAAGCGCATATCATTTCTCACACTTTCTACACCAAACAGATTTGACACTTATCTCCATCTTTTTCTAGTCATATGGTGGAAACTACTTGCCTTATCGTTCAAGTCCCTTTCTCTTATCACAAGTCCATTATCAAGGGAGGTAGATCACTAGAACTTGCCTTCCTAGGAGGTCCAAAGAAAATGATGTCCTCCAAGAAGACATCCAATTATAAGAACAGAAGCTGTTATCTTCGACAGAACGTGACTTCCCAATATGGCGCCACTGAACCGGACTGCTAATGGCATGAAATGAGTTAAGTCAAAGTTCATGCAAGAGGATAAATAGGTAGAATTATAAGAACAAGATGCTCTGGCCCAATGTATCAAAAACACACCGGATATAGCATATCAATGACTCCAGGAGCTCTCCTAGGGTTGAAGCTATACTCCAAGCTCAACCATAAAGCTGGTGAGCTAGAAGATGACTTATTCGTGCCATGAATACAGTTTCAAGATAGAGTAAAAGCATAGGGTGTGCGTGCTAAAACTAAGTACAATTTGCAGGGAGAAATTACAACAAAAATGGTAGTCCTGATTGATATTTTATTTTCATCATTCCAAGCGTGAAATAAATATATGGCAGAGGTAAGAATAAATTCACTGATAATATAATAGCAATGGCAATAGGAGAAATAATCAAAGCTAGTTTATTAGAAAAAAACCATAGCGATTATGGAAACAGATACAAGTGGTTTAAAATGCAGAAGCGGTTCAACGGTTTTACAGAAGTACATGGCATTACTGCACAATGGAAAGCAATTCGCAACAATTGCATTTCATCAGGTACATATCTATGTCAACTTAAGACCATTACCCACATGGTGAGGACGAAGGCAAACACGAACTTCATGTTCTTCTGGCCCAGCACGAAGTTTTGGCACCAATATCTCGAGCACTGTTCCTGGTCCATCATAATATGCTTCTATATTAGCATCTTCAGGAATTCGGGTCGAAAGTGGGATTTCTCTAACAAATTCTCCTGGAGGACAGTGTTCTGATGATGGATCTGTAAGCTTGAAAGTTCTGTTGTGTCTCTTGATAAATTGTGTGCGAGATGTACTAATGCAAGAGACCTTGATGATTCCATGTGTGAGTGCGTTCTTCCATGAAACTTTCACCCTCTGAAGATCAACAGAAGGCAAGCTGATTACAATCAAATAACCTTCTTCATCCTCGTAGATTGTTTTGGCAGCTGTAACAGGTCCATAGACGTTTCTCAGCACCCCATTAAATTCATTCAGCCAGTGTGGCCCCTTTGGGTGAATTTGCAAATCTGGGATACGTTCGGAAGGAGCGGATATTTCCAAATAGCGATCATCATCATTACCTTGTGAGAAGAAATCCTTCTTCCTCTTGTTGCTCACGGGTGATAGACCCATTGCGTCACCGTTTATATGATTACATGTCTGAGTCGACAGATTCAACACAGATCCACTAAGCAATTTCTTCGAGTGGGAATGTGGACTACTCTTTATTGGAGGTGGTGGCCTCTCGAGTTCAAACTCAGTGTTTGGCAGATTTCTCCATGAACTGAAATCACTTGCATCAGGTAAAATAGTGAAGTTCAGGTCCCTCCCTGTCAGTTCAGTCCATCTTTTCCGGTCATCTTCATCGAGACTCGTGAGATTGGGTAACGGGACCATCTTAATGCCGTGAACACACTGAGGGTTTGAGAGTCCCCTATAATGCTTACGTTGCATCCTATGAGATCGAACAAAACCTTTATCAACACTAAACGGAAAGGGACGCTCTCCCTGACGAGAATGTCCATTCATATAACTTCGGAGCTGCATCTTACCCAGAGCATTCTCAGGCCTTTCCTTGAAAACCCACATGTACATATTTTCCATATCATGCTGAACCATGAAAACATCGAGCTGGAGATCAGATTTATCAAACCCGGAAACCCCATTACTGTCACGAACTATCTTTGCCTTTGATTTCTCATTCAATACGGGCTTAAAGTAAAAGCTAAAAAAGAACCAAGCGCCCCAGATGCTATCAATCCTTTTTGCACATTTCCTCCCAACTTTGGGGATACTGAGAAAACTCTCAGTCTCATACATCTGGGAGCCTGGTCCAACAGCAAGAATATCACAGTGTTCAGGGTTCCAAGGCTGTGGAGGGGGGCTTCTCTCGGCTGAAAGGGGTAAATTGATATCAGGCGGACAGGTTAAAACAACTTGGCGATTCATTTCGAGGTCTAGTTCTTCATGTGAAGACGAGGCACTTGAGTCCATGGATAAGAGGGTTGAAAGGTGATGATTCTCCATTGACAAAGCTGTCAGCAGAGTACCTTCCATCTCAAGAATGATCCTTTTGTCTGGTATCAATTCCCTATGGTGTATCTATAAACTTCACCCCAATAAACAATTTGAAAAAAGACCAATCTTTATAAACACCTCCATCATGTCGAACCCAGCTACAAATCCCCAGCTTCATCAAAATCTTACTTTATTCATCCCATAACTGTATTTCAACGACATACACCCCTTGAACTAAATTCTACAAACCCTAGGTCAAAAGGAAAATGAATTCCGAAACCAAACTTTTTTTTTTCTCCCTAAAATATAAAATTAAAAACGACAACAAGATTATCAAGAAAATCAAAAGCAGGAAATAAACAGAGAGAGAGAGGTGAATGTCAAAAAAAAAAAGTAAAACTTCAACACCTGAATTATGATCAGAAAATTAATAAAAAGCTAGATGAAGACTATATCTAACCCAACCCCAAGAATCTCCATAAACCCCCCAAACACAGGTGGAATAGAGTTAATCAGATCCATCAAATCCATAGTCTCAAATGAAAATCCTATCTGCAATAGCGTCAATCTTTCTATATTTATATATGAATATTACCAGTCAATGAAACCAAGTCCCAAGAAAAGGACCAAATCTGAGGGGATTTTGGAAGAATACCTTTTAGGATAAGCTTCCACAACCAAGAATCCAGAGAGACCAGTACATTCAGAAGAATCAATAGTCCTCACAATCCTCATCTTCACTATATCTATTAACCTTCAACAATACAAAAAGCCTCCCTATTTTCACCTTAAACTACCAACCCTTAATTTCTTGATAATTTTTTTCGTCAAAAGATGCATAAACGTTGATATACCGCATGCTAATTGCTGCGAGCCTGCGAATAGAGAGACGAAACAAGAAAGGAAAACGAGTATTTGGGTTTGTTTAGGCTTGCCTTCGCCTGCCTTTATTTCTCGTGAGTTGGGCTGCTTCCTTGGGTGGCTGCAGGTGTAGCCCAGGAGTGGTAAAAAACCTGCCCGCACTGCACGATCCTTCTGGCCAGGGAAAAGTAAAAGTTACTATTTTATAAATTTTTACTATAAACATTTTTGGATTAATTTTTTTTCATTTATTTTAACATTAATTTGACGCTTCTTTATATTTTTGACTAATAAAAAATTTAATTATTTTAAAACTACTTATAAGTCATTTTCAAACTTAGCCAATCATGTACTATTTCTTTCAGTATAATTGATCATCTCCGATTTCTTGTTCTAGTTATAGTAATTGTCTTGATAAATTATTAGTTAGTCCCTATTTGCTGAAGATTAAATTAGATTTTTAGTAAATTTTTATAAAATTTGATGCAGTATGTGGTTGATTTAAATATAAATTAAAATCAATTGTTGATTTTGATTTAAATTAAAATCTGAACTTTAATTTTTATCAAATAGGAGCCCAATAATTAATCAAATGACGAAGAAAACAGGTACGTGTTGTGATGCAATGCACACGTACACATGTTAAATAATGGGTCGTGGCCGGCCATCGGACCACCAATGTAGAGACATGACATGAGGGGATTTTTTTTCGGTTGGAAAGTAATTTGGCCTTTTCGTGACGTGGTGAGAATTCATTGGTCTACCAAATTCCCTTTTTATTTGGAGGTTCCTGTTTAGAAACATATCTGTTTACTTTTTTCTTTTTAAAACAGAAAGAGTTACTGAAATTAAAATGTTTGACATTAAAAGTCAAATTACTTTTTATCCAATGAATATCGAAAAAATAAGTTGATTTCCAACCTAAGACATTTTTCGAATAAATTAATTTTGTCCTAAATTAGTCGAACAATTTCTTTGTATTTTGAAATCAAAAAAGAAAAAGGAAAAAGGAGACATATCTTCCTTTTTAATGAATAGAATTGGACCACCCCGGCCAGGCAACATCCACACCCACTGTAGGGGACGGTGGACTTTTCATTTTCCATTTTAATTAATCCACTTTTCAATAAAAATATGCCCTTTAATTGACAGACATGAATACTTTCCAGTACCAATTATTAAAAGTTGAACCCCAACCTTAAGGACCTCCCACCGCCCCTCCCCTAGAACATTGTGGAAGAGGTAAATCGCGGGATGTGCCTCAACAGGTCAGGGTACAAGAACTGTCATACTGGTACCCACAAAGAGTCAAAGTTCATATCTTGTAAGAGACAGGAATCGAACCCTCACACTGTAGCTACCAGCTCAGTTGAGACTAGTCAGTACCAATTTATTGCCAACTTGTAAGGCTGAGTATGACTCTTAGGAAAAAAGAAAAAAGAAAGGAAGAATGGAGGCCAACTTAGGGTGAACACGGTTCGATTTGAACATTTTTGAACTATTTTCAATTAAAATCATTTTAAACGATTTGGAATAAATTCAAATCAAATTAAACCATTTCATTTTTCATAAAAAAAATCATTTTTTGAAGTTTGATTTAGTTTCAAATCACGATTTTAGAGACATAAAATAACATCTTTGAAATAAGAGAAAAATAAATATATTGATTTGAAGTTTTTGTGTCAATATAAGCTTCAACAAATGAATTATTAAAAAGGATCTTGATTGAAGCTTTTGATTTCATTATTTAGATAATAAAAATATTATCATAAATAAAATATAATTTTTCTAAAGAGTCAATAGAAGCTGACTAGCAAGTTAATTTGTTTAAAGTATAAATTAATCCAATAAATACATCTTGGTTAAACGTTAAAACATGTGATATTTTTTAAAAAAAATTTGGGCGAACGCTTCAGTTTGGTTTCAAGTGTATTTTGACTTTAGAAACAAATTGAACAATTTTCAAACGATTTTGTCCATTTTAAAATGGTCAAAACCTAAACCACGTGAATACAAATCAACGGTTTTAAAATCGCGATTTCGATTCGATTTGACGGGTTGATAATTTTTTCGTTCACCTCCATAGCTAACTTGCTACGTATGATGGCACAATTTTTTTAATTTTTTTTAGATGTTAATGTTTTGATTACACATTTCAAAAATAGTCCGAACACTGTCAATCTTCGCCATCGACCACCATCGTCATTGTCATGATCGTTCAAGCTATCAAACACCACCACCATCTTCCAAATTCCAATAATATTGTCATCGACATTAAGGTAACACACGTGTTACTTGTAGTGTAATAAATGCATTTCCAATTTCCACCATTATAACTCGACATATCTTAGCAAAAAAAAAAGAAGCTCAAATGCCAATAGGTGCCTTCCACTATCTATAACAAAGCAGGTAACATGACATTTGGCAACCACCAGCCACCATTGCACTACTGTCGTGTTGCCATCACTATCAGTCGCAACACCATAGCACGACCATACCACCTTCACACCACCATTATAACACTATCCTGGATCTAGACCTTGATTTAAAATGTCAATCTAGAACCCAAACAAGAAGATAGGGAGACATGAGAGGAAGAAAATGTATCCTCAACTTCTGATTCAATGAAATCTCAAGTCATAGGCATCTATCTTATACCTTTCTTGAATACATGACACAAAACTTGAATGTTAGATAGCAATTATGCAATGTGGTGATGTTAGCGACGTTGGAGCCGACATGGAGGGGGTAGCGGCAATGACAATGACAACAAGGAGGGATAGTAGCGACGACGATGAGATTGATTTTAATTGGTAGATGATATTTTTTAGGGTTTAATGGTTTGTTAGGAATGTTGGGAAAAAGCTGATCGGTTCAGAAATAGAAATGGGGTATAATTGATTAGGGTAAATTTTATTAAAGATTTGACTAAAAAAGATAGTTATCATCAAGAATAAAAAGAGGTCATATTTGAACTTTTAGTAAAGAATGAGGTCTATGGTGTAATTAAAAATTAATTAATTGCAGGCTCCAACTTTAAAATAACTTGTGAATACTCCAAGATATTTTCATTTCTAAAGAGCATCTTTAAATTTTAAAAAAATATTTTTTACACTCCAACAAATCCTTTATTTTATTTTTTTCAACAATATATTAAGGAATAAATCTTGCATTGAATAAATATAAAAAATATAATTAATAGATAAGGGCTTGTGTCACTCAATTTAACAACGTTGACATTTCAAGATGAAATTCGAATCTTAATATAATATTAGAGTCCATTAAACTCAAATGAGATATTCTATTCCATTATGATTAAATCCCACATCAAATATATATCAATATTATGACCAACATATAAAGTCTTGGATTTTTTCCCATCTATTCTTACTTTATTGTTTCCGTTTGACCAAATTTATAAATAGTTAAATACACAATCAAACTTCAACTTCAACAAGCATTTTAGTGGATGGATTAATAACAGAAAATCTCTCTACAAACGTTTTCATATGTAATATATTCCCTATCTATTGAAAATCGTAGAAAACCTTCTATTTGAAACATTTTTGTGTGAAAACCCCCCCACCGTCAAATTTACCGTTAAAAACAGTAAAAATGTCAAAATTAAAAAGCAATAATTGTAATTTTAGTATCCAAACTTTTTATTCTTTTACAAATTATACCCCAATTTTAGTTATGTATCACCTACAATCTCAAACCCTTAAAACTTGATTTTCCACATCTCCCACGTCGTTTTCTTCCCCAAAACTTTATTATTTTATTTAATTCCTTCCAAAACCCTCGTAAATCCCTCACTGCAAATTCATTATTTTTTTCTCATTCCCATGATAGATCGATAGTTCTTCCTTGTTCCCCATACACACACACACATGTAAACATACATATATGTATGTATATACCTGTCAGGCTCTGAAGAGCTGCACCTAAAGTTGAGAGGATAATGCCAATACAAATGATAGCAGGAAAAGGGCACGCAACTGTAGCTATAAGTAACCTGAACAAGCAGTAAAGTTATGCCATAAAATAAGAAAAATAGTTAGGCTTAACCAATACAAAACCCAACCATAAGATAAGACCATCAACAAAGGTTGTATGCATGTATATATATAAGTATTCATTGACTTGGGCTAGAACTTCGTATAAAATGTAGAAACCTATTTTCATTTTTGAAACTACAGAAACGAGTTTTATGGCTTAGTATTGGTCAAGTGCATGTCTTTACTTTCGTAGGATACATTTATGGCTGTAAAGTACATTCAGGCTCGAGTTACTTACAAATTGGCTTGAGTGTGAATCATGTTAAGTTTGAATGAGAAGAAGAAATGAGGAATTTGGGGTGAGGGATTTAGGAGAGTTTTGGAAGGGATTAAATAAAATAGTAAAATTTTGAGGAAAAAGATGAAGTGGGGTGTGATCAGGGGCGGACCCAGCCCAGAAGTTCAGCCCGGACGGACGTCGACAATGATTATTGGCTCTAGACCTCTAGTTGGAGAGAGTGGAAGTGGGAAGTCCATAGTGTTGGGAATTTAGAGTAGTAGAGTATTGAAAAAGGAAGCTGCAGAGAGAAATTAACACTCACAAATGCAGAGTATGCAAGTTATCTGCTGTACTCTTTATTTCAGAATTGAAGGTGTCTATTTATAGGCTTACAAGCAAATTGAAAAGCTAAAAAATCTCAACTAATATTAGATATTATTGCCACTACTTTCAGACATATTTACTAACTAAAAGACAGTGAATTAAGGAGCAAAAATCTGCAGGAAAAATAAATATCAAAGACTAAGTCAAAGTTGAATAAATTTTTAATCAATTTTCAACACACAGTTATCACATATCATTTTGAATTTTGATACAAAGATTCTACAGAGAGTACAGACTACAATCCTGACTCTGGCCAGATATTCATGGATGGAGTGGAAATCCGAAAATTGAAGCTTGACAAATCACAAAAACTTAAAAATTGAAATGGGTGAAAAAATTGAAAATGGGGGTGAAAAAACCGAAAATTGAAATACTTAGGCCCTGTTCTCTTTCTCGTTTTCCAGCCATTTTCTATTTTTAATTTCTCAAAACAACGAAAACGTGTTCTCTATCTTATTTTCGAAAACGCATTTTGAAAAATGAAAAAAAAAATATAACTGAAAACGGAAAACAATAAAAACATTGTTTTGTAAAATGTTTGGGAAAACAAGCCAAAAGTTCAAAACATCGAAACGGGCCTCTGGGCCTCTCATTCTCACAAAACACGCTCAACTCTCTCCCTCTCTCACAACTCTCTCATTGAACCCTCTCCCTGTAAATCGATCAACGACAGCGAAATCCCTACCAAATCGAAGGGTGCTACACGGAATCTTCGAATTTTGGGGAACTTTGTTCTGGTCAAGCCGAATCGCACGCTGCAGCGACGGGAGGAAGGGTGTAATCAAGATTTCGCATCTCCAAATCAACGTTTTGTTTATTTGATTGTAATAACCTGTAGTTATTCGCGAGTATTCAATTTTTGAGTTGTTGGGTCCGATTTCAAAGATGTTTCTTTATTTGATTGGTGCGAAATTGAGGAGGGTTGGGGAACAGTTGGGGCGGTCGCTGGAGGTGGAGGTTGTGGTGCAGGTGGAGCTTGCGCTGGAGGTGGAGGTGGAGGTGGAGCTCGCGCTGGAGGCTGTTTGTAATATGTTTGTCGTTATTTTTTGGTGGAGAAATTTTAATGTGGTTCCTGTTTAGCATTGGTATGAGAATTGTTGGCAAATAAATGAGCATAATTCTGATTTATTACTCTTTCACGAAGATTCTAAACTGAACTGATGAGCGAAATTGGCATTAGGTATTAGGATCTTGGTTTGGGATAGAAGATCACACTAGAAGAAAATGGAATTTCTGCTATGAAGTGTTTACTTAACTGTATTTGTATCTAGTGTTTAACTTAATTCATTTATCCAACTCAAAAGCTAGTTGGACTTACTAGTTGAAATGTCGAGAAGAGGTTGCCAATACTAGTTGAAATGTTGATTGGTAATGCTGCATAGTTCCAATACTAGTTTCTGTCATCCTGCTTTAAATTTGAATTATTTCAAAATTTCGCTTGGACAATCTGATGCTTCATTATTTTCAGTGGTAATGTTAAGAGTTATGTACCTTGTTTTGGATTGGACTTGGGAGGGGAATCCTACCTCACCCTTCTCACCACACACACATTTTCTATAGTTTTATTTATAGTTTAAGAATTGTAACTGTGTTGATGGTTAAAGAAAGCTTGCTTCTTTCAGTCCATTTGCTTGGAACTGTCTCAAGTTCAAATTTAGTTATATTGATCTTGCTATTGAGGTCTTTGCCCTGAATTCTATTGCAAATTTTGTTTCCATGCTAGAGGAGGAAGTTCAAGTGGCAACTCAAGAGTAATAACCATGTTTCCTTGCAATTATATTGCAATTATATTGTCCTCCTGTTTCCTTGAAGCGGAATTAATAAACTTGAAATTTCATTTTATCTTTATTAGTGGATTAATATGTCATTGTTAGTTCAGGGGGCTACTGTCATGTTGTCTACAATGTGCACTTCTAAGTTGGATAAATTAGTATGCAGATGTCTGTGGTAACTGGTAATATCAGTAGTTTGTACTAATGCGATTTATGTATACTTTCTGCTTTTTTCACTACAGGAAAAACATTTGAGAATCTGGATATTTGAGTGCAAAGAGCCAAGCCATAACGCGTCTGTCCTAGGCGTAGCTGCTGCTACTCTTCTATGTATAGCTCATGTTCACACTGAATTTCTAGTTGCCCTGTTCTTAATGAAGGGAAGCACTATCATTGTTTTCAGGAGATTTGAAAGGATATTATGTTGATCAAATTGTTTAAATACTGCTTTGGATTTGTTCAAATCCATTTTTATTACTGTGAGATTTATCATTTTGAGCTCAAATTTAATGTTTATTTCAATATATAGATTTGTTTATCTCGCAAGATCCAGGATGATAGTTTGGCAACACTTTTTTTTTTTAAAATAGTTTACTTGTGAATTGAAAAAGGTGCTCTTAACTACAATGGTAAATAGTCATTTTTAGACCAATACATGCAATCGTTTCACATTGTACTCCGCTCTCCCGCTAACAAAACTTGTGTTATGATAAGAATAGAATTATTATACACATATAGAGTTTGACACATGAAAAGAATCAAACTCAAAATTCAAATCGTATCGCTTGAACTGATTATTTTATATTTTGTTCAGTGTAAAATTATTTTGTCATGACATGTAAACTTCCAATCGTATCAATTGAACTATTTTGTCAAATGTAATTTAGGTTGTATTTTTAATATCTGAATTTTTTTTTGAAATTTCATCAATTTCAAAATTTATATGTTATTTAATATTATATTAATATTAAACCATTAAAATTTATTGAATAATCAGATTTTTTGAATAAAATATTATTTAAAAAATTCTCAAAATTTCAAAGTAAACGCGTTTTCCATTTTCATGTTTTCAGAAATAGTTTTTCAGAATGGCAAACATAACGCATTTTCAGAAATTTCAAAACAGACAATCAAAACACAAAACACAAAACGAATTCAAAACTCAAAACACAAAATTGAAACACAAAGAAAACACCACCTAATCTTCTTAATTCTTGTTGTTTTCTTCAAATTCATATATGTATTCACACACAAAAAAACGAATTGAAACAAAAAGTCAGAAACGGAACGGAATTACGGAAAGTCGACACACTTACCGGCAGCAAGCAGCAGCAGAAGCACAACAACCGGGTAAGGGAGAAGGAAAAGTGAAGAGTGAAGGGAAGGGGTTTTTGAGTAATGCTGTAATGGATAATTGCCAATTGAATATTATTTCATTTATATGGGATTTGGGCCTAATTTTGAAATAGGCTCAATTCTCTCCGCCCAAAACAAAAGAGCCAAAACTAAAAAAGGGGCCTAATTTTTTTTAATTACCCAACAAGAAAAGGCTCAAAACTTACCTCCCCTCCCTTCTTCATCTGTTCTTCTTCTTGTCTTCTCTCCGTCCTCTACAACACAATCACTCGACGGCGCTCGGCAGTTTGAAGGTTTCAGCGGATTCAGCACGGGTGGCCGCGGGGGCTCGCCGGGTGCTGGGTTCGTCACTGGGTGTGATGGAAAATAAAGTTTTAAAGGTTTGAGATCGTATGTGGTAGATAAAAAAAAATGGGTATAATTTGTAAAAAATAAAAAGTTTGGATACTAAAATTACAATTATTACATTTTAAATTTGACATTTTTACCCTTTTTAACGGCAAATTTGACGGTAAGGAGATTTTTCGCACAAAAGATGTTAAATATGAGGATTTTCTACGATTTTCAATAGGCAAGGGGTATATCGCAAATGAACACCTTTCTAGGGGGTTTTTTGCTATTCACTACTCATTTTATCATTTGACAAATTAAATCATATTTCAATTCTCTATTTCTTAAAATATTTCAAGGGTGGTTATATTACTACCCCAATAAGTATTTGAGACGCTACAATTTTTTTTATTTTCTTAAATTGATTGGTCGTTGAATCTAAAATAATATGTTAAATAAAAGATGATGAAAAATCAATAAACATTTATTTCAAAAATTAAAATGAAGAGTAAAATAGAAAAGCATATTCTGAGTATATAAAAAAAAAATTATGCTCTAAATTTATAAGTATTTTTTTATTTTACATAAGATGTTCTTTATCAATGAAGAGTTCCTCGAATATGATCTTAAAGCATAATGTAAACCGTTTGACTCTTTAAAATAGAGAGCATTTCCATTTTTCTAGAGTCTCTTTGAGATGTTGTAATTACATGCTATAATATTTATGCTTCAATAATTAATAAGTAATTGGAGATTGAATTAACTTTTAAGTTATGAAAATAAAATTTCCCTATTATATCTTTTTCGAAAACAGAGTTTTAACCTACCATATCGCATTTTCAATTTACCTATATGTGCTTTAGCAGCTTTACAGATATGAAAGACCAAGCAGAAAACCTTGACTCATATTTACCATTCAGTTTTAACATTTCTAAGAAATTCACTAAATCCTCTTCCAATGGACGTTCAAAATCATCATTGGGCACTCGAAATCACCCCTCTTTTTGTCGGATTTCTCGGGGTCATGACCGGTGCTGTACTGGTAGCAATTTTCCATTGCATAATGGTGATTTGCCATAGTATGTCAAGCACTCAAACATCTACAATTTCCACGAATCAAATGCAAAGTATTCCTCTAAATAACCAAGAACTGATGAGGGGGAATTCAACAGTTCAACTCGTTGTTACATCGAAGTACTCCAAAGAATGCAAAGCAGAAGTATGTGCTATTTGTCTAAGTGAGTTCAAGGAAGGTGATGAGGTTCGGGTTTTGGCTGAATGCACGCATATATTTCATGTACTATGTGTCAACCAGTGGCTCCAGAATCACTGCAGTTGCCCACTTTGTCGGGCTACTACTGGGTTGGCGCCACTGTCACTTTTTATAGGTTCGTTATCAGAATCTGGTGGCGTTCCAGTTCCACCGCTGGATCTATACAGGGTCCCGAATTCTGGTGGCTAGTGGTTGAAAACGTGACTTCGGATGCAACTTTTGTACCTTCTTTGGTTTAGTTTTCTGACTTAGCTTAGAAGTGAGTTTGTTAATTCCATCATGTAACAATGTGAAATAATATGTTTGTATTGTGATGTGAAGATGACCTGGAAATTACACTGAAACGTTAAAGATGAAATTACACTTACAACTATTTTTTAACCTTTTATTTCAATAATTAGGTACAAAAATTTTTCTTTCAAAAATTAGGTGAGCCCCACCCCCTCACGGGCCCCACCCACTCATTCAAAAAATCTTTGATGCAGGTTCGTCCGTCGCTACCACCAACTCTGGTCACCATCATCGGAACCAACTACCCACTACACCCCGCATTTANAAAAATCTTTGATGCAGGTTCGTCCATCGCTACCACCAACTCTGCTCACCATCATCGGAACCAACTACCCACTACACCCCGCATTTATCATTTAGGAAAATGATGTTTGCCCAGGGCCTTAGCAAACAAATTCAAAACCAGAGAATAAAAAATTAAGGTGAATTGTCTATTATACCCTTATTTTAGGCTTTAACCATTTTAACCATTATTCCGTTTTTAATTGGTATCAGAGCCTAGTAACGAAACTAAAGAAATTTTTTAATATGAATAGAAACGATAAAATGATTTTTGAAGAATTACAAAATATAAATACATTAACTAGAACTAATAGAATTAAATTATAATAATTAGCAACAAATTTAATTAATGAATTTAAATCTATAAGTGAAGAGATAAAACAAATTAATATCTCTCAACAATTAGTTCAAATAAAA